GACCCAGTGGTCTTAGAGTTACCTCTATGCTATTATATAGTTGCTCTTTGTTCGTTGCTAGCAGTTCGGTGCCTTTTGTTGCTACGGTGCAAGATGTGTGAAGTAAAAAACACCATCAAGTTTAGCTTCAGCCACCATGATGCTAAACCAAACATCGGAGAGATTGTAAATTTCGCCAAAGCACTCGACGCGGATCGAAGTGAAATGGAAGCTGTTTATCGCATTGGTGAGGAAAGGGGAGTATTCATCAAGTTCAAATCAGAGGAAGCGATGCTCCATGCTCTGACGTTCAATTCGGAGGATTTAATCTTCCATTATGCGAATGGACCGACGGCAAAGGTACGCATGTCGCATGCTGGTGAATACATTCAATATGTGCGTGTGTATGACTTGCCACCAGAGGTACCCGACAACGAGCTGGATAAAGTGCTGGGGAAATATGGAAAAATTAAACGCATCATCCGGGAGAAATTTCCATCTGATCTGTGTTTTGAGGTATATACAGGGATACGCGGTATATATATGGATGTGAAGAAGGAAATCCCCACGTCATTACATTTCTTCAATCGCAAAGGAAATATATTTTATGATGGCAACAAAGATAAATGTTTTCTGTGCAAGGCGGACGGACACCGGAAGCTTTCCTGTCCCATGCGGAAGGCTGGGAAGGAAGCGGAGAAGCAACCTAAGGAAAAAGGAAAGCAGCAAAGTGAAAGAAAACAAAACAGCAGCAGTACGTATGCTGGTGTAGTGGTGGAAGGTGCGTCGCTAGTCATTAGCGACCAGGAAACGGACACGAGGTTGGAGATGCTGAATGAAAATAACGAAATGGACGTGACGACCCCGACGACCGACGAGAGTAGCGGAGAGCATGCAACGGGAAACGACGTTCAGAAGCAGCAGCAGCGATCACGATTCGGGTTCAATGAAAATGAGGAACAAATTCGGGAAAGAAAGAAGTTGCGTGCACGGGAGAAGATCGCGTTGTCGCCGCTTCGATCGCCACCCAGAAAAATCCTATAATAAAATGCATTTTTATATATATATTTTTTTTTTTTGTATTTTGAGTACCAAAATTGGTATTTTATGTACTCGGCTCCGCTAAGTTATTTTTATAACATTTGAGCCTTCAAATAAACGAAATGAAAAAAAAAAAAAAAAAAGAATTGCAACTACTTTTACGGTTAACCAGCTGACTGGGATGTTACGGCTATTTAAAACTTCATTACACATGTTGACTATTACATTAAGAAGATGAATGTTTGTATTTTTTAAAATATGATATGAAATGTTATCAGGACCTGGAGCAGAACTGTCTTTTTTAGTTTTTAGAGTGTTGATAATGTCATTTATAGATAGTTTAAGTTGATTTGAATTATTATTTACATTGTATTCTATATCATTAGTTATTGTGGGAAAGTTTAGATTCATGAATTTGTTAGCTAGTTCTCTGTTATTCAATAGTTGTAGATTATTTTTTTGAGGAAACCCTCCACTTATTACTTTTACTGTTTGCCATAATTGTTTTAAGTTTAAATCCGGTGTGAGAGTATCTGTGAGATCTTGAAAGTTTTTTCTCTTAGATTTTTTTAATTTCAGTTTTTAATTTAGCTCTTGCTTTTTTGAAATATATCAAGTTTTCCATGGTTAAGTTATTTAAGTAATTTTTAAAAGCTTTATTTTTTTCATCAAAAAATTCTTGAATTAATGGATTCCACCATTTTTTTGGGTAAAATTTTTTATTCGGTTTGTATTTTGTTTCATCAATTTTAGAAATAAATAAGTTACTTAGTAGTTCTGGTGATGTTATTGTGTTTGGATCTATTTCATTAATGTTTTTAATTGTTTTTTTCTTATTTATAAGAGTACAATTATAGAAAAAATGTTGAGCTTGATTAATCATTTTAAAAATTATTATTTTATGATCTACGCAGATTTCTTCATTTAGTACAGACCATTCAATTGTTGGTGCTAAACATGATGAAACTATAGTTAAATCTATTGCAGAAGGAGTAATGGTTGGATGTTCCAACATAGTTGGTGACCCGTCGTTCATGATAATTAAGTTCCTGTTTTCAATTAGTTCTAAAATTAGTTCGCCTCTTGTACACGTTTTGTTGGCTTCATTCCATACAGAATGATGAGCGTTAAAATCCCCAGCTATTATGGTTTTGTATTTGTTTAGGTCAATAAAATTAAATAAGTCAGTCAAAGGTTTTTTAATTTGAGTGTTATTAATAGGACTTAGAGGTATATAAATGGAAATGAATAAAAATGGATATACTGTGTTAGTTGTTTTTATTGCTATTGCTTCTATAGGTTTTACATCTGGAAGTTTTATTTCTTGGACATTTATTTCATTTTTTATTAAGAAGGCTACTCCACCATAGCCTTTGTCTCTTGTTTTTTTATGGAATTTGTATCCCGGAAATTTAAAATCTTCATTTGGTTTTAGCCAAATTTCGGATAAGATAGCAATGTCTATTTTATGTGATTGTAATAGATGAGTAAGAAGTGAACGGTTAGCTACCGGTCTTATACTATTGATGTTATTTTGAAGTATATTTAGATTGCGAACTGGATCCATTTTTATTTATTATATGGAGGTTTAGGTGGTTGTAGAATTTCTGGGTTGATAAGATCATTTAACTGTTCACTGATGTTAATAAGAAACAGATTTTGATCCTTTGAATTGGTTTGGATTTCGTTTGAAACGTTTTCGTTAATCTTTTCTTGAATTTCTTTAATTTTGTTGATGAGTTTATTCAAGTTGAGTTGTTTTACTATTTGGACTTTGAGTTTATTTACGATTTGCTCCAATTCTGGTTTTGTTATGTAGTTATCATTGTTAACTTCTTTGTTTGTGTTGATGTTATTCTGGGTATTTGTTATGATTTGTTTTTTATTTTGGGGTTTTGGCTGTTGTTTGTTGTTAATGTCGTTGTCTGTTGTTATCGGAGGAAAATCAGTCAGTGATTGAAGTCTTTGAGCTGTCTGTGATGGACGAGGGTTAAGTTTTTCAGCTTCAGCGAATGAGAGCTTGTTATATGCCATTGATTTTCGAATATTATCTTGCCGAGATCTTCCTTTACAGTTTGCGTCAAATGCTTTATGTGGTTCTTTGCAGTGGAAACATGAAACATTCAATGATTTACAGTCCTTTCCTTCATGATCATTTGGTGAGCAATTATAACACCTGACCTGTTGTGATTTACATGCGTTTTGTTTATGTCCGTAGCGTAAACATTTCCAACAAAATTTGAGTGGAAACAAATAAACCTCTACCTTTGACATTACACCATATATTTTGATTTCTTGTGGGAGTTTCTCACCTTCTGCGTATATTTTAATGGAGTATGTGGGAATCAGTTGTTTGTTTACCATTTTATGAATTCTTTCAACTTTTGTTATTTTAATTCTCTTGCTTTCAATGTTGTCTTGTAATTCCTCTTCTGTTATTGTGGGAGGTATATTTCTGACTACACCTAGGGTTTCTTGAAACATTTTTGGGACATAGATCTTGAACTTGTATGTTTCTGTCAGTATTTTTGAGTTAATCAAGTTTTCTGCGTGTCTTGGGTTATTGAATGTGATTTTGTATCGGAATTTTCCTGCTGGTTTGAGTTCATTGTAATTTGTGATTTTGATGTTATGCAACAATTTGGCTATTTCCATGATGTGCAATTTTTGTTTTTCGTCAGTCGGTTCCATGAAAAAAGTCTTGTGAATCTTATTTTGAATCCAGCCATCGTCCGGAAGATCTTTAGTTTTTTTTCTCTCAGCGTATTTGTCTGTCTTCTTGTCGTTCGTGTTTCTTTGTTCCTTTTTCAATTTCTTGTTTCCAGTTCTGTTATCTTCGTCTGATGATTCTTTTTTCCGGCGGATACTCAATGATGCGTCACTCGCAGATTCATATCCTGTACCAGAGCCATCCTCATCTATAGGGCCATAAGCCCCATCTTCATCTTTATCCATGCTTTCTCTCCAACCAGTCTTTTACAAGACCTCGTGGAGAAAAATCGAATTTACCTTACCTTAGCCTATCCTATAATGTAGTAAAAATCCAATGGAGTTTAAATAACAATAATAATTTGCACAAATTTCACAATGCTACAATAAAAATTTGCTCGAAAATAAATTTTAGAAGAATAACAAAATGGCGGATATAAAAAATTCTCTTAAAAACAACGCGTTACGCGCACTGATACACCTGGCTGTACTTTCCAACTTTACTGCACAAGGCTTCAAGGGAGAATGATGCTATCAAGTTCTTGTTGTGTCGTTCTGCAAAATTGATGATGCATTGTACACTATGTTTGTTTTGATTCGCTATGAAAGTTTGACAGATAAAATGAGGGGTTTGTGGATTTTCTTATGTTTCGAGGGGTGCATCGATTAGCTTGGGACCGAAGATAGTACCAGAGCTGAGCCAAAAAGTTGAGCTCGTTTCTTCGGGACCTTCTGGTCTTAGAGTTACCTCTATGGTAGTACCAACAATCAATACGATTTGTAAATCAAATGGAGAGTCACCTCACACGAGGTGACTATTGTCACCTCACCGGTGAGAGAGAGTCACGTGACTCGCAGAATAGGGGGGAATGCATTAGGTCCTAAGTAACATTGATCGATTATCTTAATCGCCTTCCGCTTTCGGATATTGATTAATGGATAATAGCTTGTTGGATCGATCTGTGTACAGAAATTAGCTGGGAATGTGCATGGCCGTGAGCATGAAAAGAGAAAGTAGACGAAGATAATTTGTCAATGTTACTTAGGGTATAATGCATTGTTCAGCTTAAAATGTCCAACAAAATAATTAATTATTTCAGGCAAAAATCGTTAAGGCTGCTAAGTTACTGGAGCACCTCGATTAGAATTAAATGTAATTTAACTTGAATTTAGTACAAATAAACAGAAATGCTTATAACCTCTTATTCTGAACATGTTTTGATCATAATTTAAAACTAGGGCAGATTCTCGTCAGTTATTATAAAAAAATATATAGCTCTTGTCATTGGCTTTTTTGTTAAAATACCAAGATATTTTGGAAACTATCTACTACAAGTTGGATACGAATTCAACAGTTATCTTCAACCAGATGAAGGCCCAAGTCTCTTGTCCCAATCGGCGAGGTACGTTTTGAATGCCAGGTGCTCAGCATTTTCCTTCTCCAGCCGAGTAATATAGTCATGCAACTGTTGAAACCTGTCACCGTAGGATTGACGAATTTGTACGGTCAATTTTTGCGAATCGTTGACCACGTTTGCCATGACTGGCTTGTACACCCCAATCTTCACGGCACTGTCCAACTCAAATCGGCAAACCTTCTCCGGTTTGCCATCGAACAGTACGGAGTAATCACTGGGTTTTCCTGCCATTAAACTAAGGTAGAAGTACATGCCGTCATCTTCGTTTGTGATCTCGCATTTCCATTCGAAGCCGTACGGAGCTTGAAGGTTTGTCTTGCATGATCCATGGTTCTTTATAGTGCTATCGAACTCTGTCATACGGAAATCCAGTACGGTTGCTTCCGACATGAATTCTCTGAAAAAATGAAGGTGGTAAAATGTATAGTATGATTAGAAATCGCTATCATAAAATCACTATACCGGCGACGATCTAGTCGAACTGATTCTGTTTCATCCTGATGGTTCAAACGCAGCTCCGCCATTGCTCGTTCGGTTGTAATGATTTGCATTACACATGCAGGACTACGAGACATCAACGAAAACTCAATGGTAATGTTGTCATTAGAAACATTTAAACGGATTACTCACTTTGCCTTGCCCGTAATCAGCTCCTCCGATTCTCCACGTAGTTTTTCGATTAATTCTTTCTCTTGGCTCAGACGACTTAGATTTTCCTGCACCTGTTTCAGTACATGATCGACCACTTCCTTTCGTCCGTTGATCCAGGTTAGAGTCGCCGTCATATTTTGCATGTAGTGTTCGAAAGCTTCCTCTGTTGAAATGCTTAGTGGATTTTCGACCTTTATTTAGGAAATATTGAGACTCACCTAGAGGTACGGCCCGTTCCTTGTGCTCAGCATGTTCCTCTGAGAACCAACATTTAACGCAAATATTCATTTCGCATGGGTAGCAAAATAGAGAAAGATGCTGGTTCTCATGTTCACCGCAAAGGTTGTCCTTGTTGTCCATGCTTGAGAACAGATGCCTGATCGATTCCTGCAATTGATTGATCGAATAGCCCTTTACCAGTGCAGAATAACTCACGGTTGTTCGACAGTTTGGACAAGTGCTGGATTTGTTCGTTAGCCAATTGTAAATGCACCCTTCGCAAAATAACCGTGAACAGGATGGACAGAGTCGAGCCTCATGAACGCCGTCGAGGCAGATTACACACTGCAAATGCTGTAGCACTTCCGACTTCCTGGCATCGATCACTTCGGCTTCAGTCATAGTGCCCTCCGCTTTTAGTTGGAAGTTGGAACCGGCGATATCCAAAACCTAAGAGCTTCAAAATCAACACGAACCCAAAAAAGTACCTACCATCAGCTGAACGCGCGCGTGTGTGGAAAATTGCAGTGGAAAGATAAAAATCTGCACAGGCAGCAATTTTGCGCCTCGCAAGAAAGGCTACACGGCGAATGAGAACGCCCCAAATTTGAGTTTAGTTCACTCATAATCGCCAAACGTGCAGGAACTCAGCGATGAGTAAAATTTGTCTCATGGTTTCCTGTGGAAAACCTAAAAAATCTGCCGGAAAATGAGGAAATTGACGAAAATTTTATTCAGTCTCAGAGTAGTACCAATAGACTGAGTGAATCCAATCTTTACTTTTCTCAAATTTGGGAATTTTTCCCTGGAAAATCCTGGAAAACCTGGGAAAACATGAGGCAAATTTACTCATCGCTGAGTTCCTGCACTTTTGGCGATTATGAGTGAACTAAACTCAAATTTGGGTTGTTCTCATTCGCCGTGCACCCAGCAAGTGTATATACACGGTTAGAAAAAAGTACCCAAAATTAAGTTCTTTTCACTCATCTCGGCACTATAGTGCAGGAACCCATAAGTAGGTAAAGCGGGTCAAAGTTATTTTAATATACTTGTGTGCGCAGTTCGTATGGAATTTCCACTGGCTTTTTAACCAAAAGTAAGTTAGTTGTACCCAACAGTAGGTTTATTTGTTTATTTGTTTATTTGTTATGGTTGCATCAACAGACTAGAAATAGTCCCAATGATGTGTTGTAAAAAATACAGATTATACAGACGACATACATATACTACAGTTACTACAGTTACAAACGAAAATAACTTGGAAAGCATTGTCAAGTTACTAAAAATTTATAAGTCTTAAATTTTACACTTAGCTGTTGGGTATCAAGCGCCTTCGGTCAGCAAAAAAGGCAGAGAATCTTCGGCGAAGCATATTCCGTGTCAAGTGGAAATCGAACATCGACGCTACTCGGTTGAACACTAGCTGCAAGCCGTAAATAGCGCTCCCTATGCTATAATTAGTTCGAAGAAGTGGAAGTCTCAGCATAAGACTGTTGCGTAGTGATCGAGGTTGAACATTAATGTTCACTTGTTGCAGAATTGCTTCGCAGTCAATTCTTCCTTGCAGAGTATCGGCGACGGTTAAAGCTATGAAAACATCTTTTCGGATACGTAAGGGCTCGATATTGATCAATTGGCAGCGATTCTCGTAGCTTGGAAGACGAAGTGGGTATCTCCAAGGCAGCTTACGGAGCGCGAAGCAAAGAAAACGTCGTTGAACAGATTCAATTCGCTCGGCCCCATTATTGTAGTTCGGGCTCCAGACAGCAGAGCAGTATTCCAACGTAGATCGTACGAGAGAGCAATAGAGCGATTTCAAGCAGTAAATGTCCGTGAAGTTCTTAGTAATCTTGAAGACAAAGCCAAGCGTTCTGGACGCTTTGTCGACGACATACGATATATGGTGTGAGTATGTCAGCTTTGAGTCTAGAAAAACGGCTAAGTCTTTCACGCAGTGCACCCGTTCGATAGTCGTGTCTAGTAGTTTGTAGTTGAAAATAATCGGTTGTTTCTTGCGTGAGAAAGTAATAACTGTACACTTAGCTGGGTTGACCACCAGTCGGTTTAGACTACACCAGTCAGCAAAGATGTCAATCTGATTTTGGAGAGAACGGCAGTCGGCGAGTGAGCTGATGCGCAGAAAAACTTTCAGATCGTCTGCAAACGATAATCGTGGCTCTGTGATAACATGGTGAACGTCGTCGAAGTAGAGGAGAAATACCAATGGTCCCAGATGGCTGCCCTGAGGTATACCGGACTTTGCGCAGAAGCTTGCTGAGCGACAAGTACCCAAAGTTACTGTCAATTGGCGCTCCGTGAGGTATGAACGAAACCATCTCAAAAGATTTCCACCGATCCCTAGTCTATCAAGCTTAGCGATCGCAATTTCGTGGTTCAGCTTATCGAAGGCTGCCGTAAGATCTGTGTAGATAACGTCCGTTTGGGTCCGAGCAATCAAACTGTCTGTGATGTAAGACGTTAGGCACAGCAGGTTCGTAGTTGTGGAACGCCCAGTTATGAATCCGTGTTGATCTGTACTTAGATATTGCCTGCAATGCGCATTTAGGGACTCTATGACAACCAATTCAAAAAGTTTTGATACAGCACTCAGCGATGTGATTCCTCGGTAGTTGTTTACGTCGCGTTTGCTTCCCTTTTTATGAACAGGAAACATATCCGCAGTCTTCCAGCAAGACGGAAAGATGCCGCTGGAAAGAGAGAGCTGGAATATGCGGCGCAGTGGATCTAAAAGACAAGTGATGTTCTTTTTAAGAATAATCGACGGAACACCATCGGGTCCAGCCTTAGTTGAAGTCTTAAGTTTAGATGCTGCTCTAGAAATCGTATCTGTAGTGGCTTCGACCATGCTGAGCGTTTGGTTGATCAAAGGAACATTACTGGCCGCGGAAGTAATGATATTAGCGGAGAGTTGCTCGGCTACAAACACACTAGCAAATTTGACTGAGAACAGGTTGCAAATGTCTTGTTGATTTCCAGCAGTTTCACCATTAAAAATCATGGAAGAGGGTAAGCCGACTTCCCTGCGTTGCTCATTTACGAAGTTCCAGAAGGATTTCGGGTGTGATTTTAGCCGCCGTTGAATCCTCCTTTGATAGCGTTGAAAACAGAGACGACTTAACCGCTTATACTCGTGGTTGAGTCTGACATAGTAGCATTTCAGTGGCAGTGTGCGGAGTTTAGTAAATCTTCTGAGAGCAGCCTTCTTAGTTCTTTTCAACGAGCGAAGATCTTTCGTCATCCACGGGACGCGAGAGTCGATATGGATGATCTTTTTGGAAACGTGTCTGTCAATGACATATGCCAAGACGTGAGAAAAGGTTTGTGCAGCAATGTTGACGTCTACAGGATCTAGAATATGCTCCCAATCTAGATTAGACAGCACATGGACGATACTGCAATGGTCAGCTCTACGGAAGTCATATGACACAGCGTTTGGAGTGCTGGTGAAATCATGGACAATATTATTTTCGATCACGATAACTAAAGCAGGGTGATGATGCACTACCTTGACTAAAGGTTCGGGTGCCGTGGAGAGGAAAGGAGCTGTATCACGAGCACTCACAAAGCAGAGATCCAGGGTGCGGTTGTTTTCATTCAACAGGCCATTGATTTGTGACAGAATTGCGGTACTATAACTGTCCAGGAGCTGGATGGTTCCTACGTGGAAAGATGAACGCTCGTGATCAGGACAAAAGAAACCACTATGGGTTGGAGTCCATGCAATGTCCGGTAGGTTAAAATCGCCAAGAACAATAACTTCGTCGGAAGGGCCTGCTTTGTCTGAAGCGGCCAAGACGGATCGACATAATATGATTATACCACAAACGAAGTGACAGACGACTAACTGGCGAAGAAATCCATTTAAATAATGTGGTTCACTGTAATAGAATTTTCTTGGAAGCTTGTGCCATCATCCACCAGATGGGTTAGTTTTTTTGTTTTGATTTTATTTTGTGTATAAACATTCTTTGACTGTGCAAAGAGTGTATCATTTTGTCATTTTTTTATGCATTTCAGTTTTGAGTAGAGTGAAAGAGATAGAACCAAAACAATCTACATTTCAGTGTCAACATTTCAAAGGGGCGTAATTGCTTTTGTAAACAATGACTTTAGCCGTCAATTTCTCGCGAATGATATCTTACCTCTCCAAAATTACAATGCTAGCTGGTAGAGGAAACATTCCTCTACCTGGTGGTGTTATTATTTTTCATGAGTGAGCTTTTATTTGCGAGAAATCTACGGCTAAAGCCATTGTTTACAAATGCAATTACGCCCCTTTGAAATGTTGGCACTGATTTGGTGAAAATGCTAGTTCAATCTAGTAGTAGCATAGAGGTAACTCTAAGACCACTGGGTCCCGAAGAAAATCATTATTATTTTTGGCTCACTCAGTACCAGAACAACGGTCCCAAGCAGTCCCAAGCTATTTCACTCACCCCTGCATGTTCTGCATGAATCCACACACCCCTGATGTTATCTGTCAAACTATCATAGCGAATCAAAACAAACATAGTGTAGTAATAGAATTTCAACTAGAATAGGGTACGTTAATCGTTTGCTTGGGACCAATAGGCTACTAAAGTGGTGAGCCAATTTAAAATCGTTAGTTTCGTATTGATTGTTGGTAGTAGTGTTGCCATGTGGTACAATCCAGTAGTAGTGGTGTTGCCATGTGGTACACTGAAAAATTGCAATAGCAGGTTAGTCATCAAAGTTTTCGAGCCGCTCCGTCTGTCACTTCGTTTGTGGGGTAAACTATCCCACATATGTTTTGGATGATACCCCGAACACGTCGTTAAGCTTCCTTTTATAGTTATTTTTATTAGGGAAGGAGTTGCAGGGAGATCTATCATTTTCAGCGTTATGTTATGGTTGAGGATGTGGTAGCCAGAAAATGTATTTTTTCGGTTGAAGTTTTGACAGCTCGATCAACATGACGGAACACTTTCTGACACCCAAAAGCACACATGAAGCACAATAAACACAGACTCAAGGTGGCAGAGTGACTTACCCAGATTTTTCCTAAAGATGTGGCCAAATTCAAATACTCATCATTCATAAACGAACGATAACCTCGACAATAACCCAAATGATAGAACTATTCCAAAATTGGTTTTATCACAAACGAAGTGACAGACGGAGCGGCTCGAAAACTTTGGTGACTAACCTGCTATTGCAATTTTTCAG